TAGGGAATTTGTGAATAGATAATAGAGAGCCAAAAAAGGAACAGAAAATGGGGAATACTTTAGGGGGAAAGAAAACGGCTAAGGTTATGAGAATCGACGGGCAGACCATGAAACTGAAGACGCCGGTGAACGCCGGCGAGGTGGTAAAGGATTACCCCGGCCACGTTTTGCTGGAATCCGAGGCGGTGAAGCATTACGGGATCCGAGCGAAGCCGCTGGAGCCGCAGGAGGCGCTGCGGTCTAAGCGCCTCTATTTCCTGGTGGAGCTGCCCAAGTTCCCGGCGGAGGCGAAGGCCGCGCGGCGGGTCCGCTCCGGGATTCAGATGAGCGCCAGGGACCGCCTCGAGAACCTAATGCTGGCTCGGAGATCCGTGTCGGACCTCTCGATAATGAAGCCGGCCAGCATGTCGGCCGAGCTGGCCGGGGAGAAGCCGGAGCCGGCTGCCGCCGAGAAGGGGGCTGTGCGGCTCAAGGTACGGCTGTCGAAGGCGGAGGTGGAGAAGCTGATGATGGAAAGTAAGGACGAGAGCGAAGCCGCCGAGAAGATCATGCGCCTCTGCATGGCTAACAACGGCAGCTCCTCCTCCACAGCTGACAACGCGGCTCCAGCCGAACCGGCCGCTCAGAGTCAGACGGCGGTTGCTTGTAATCGAGGTCTCAAAACGCGTCAGGTACCTGCGTTTTCGTATTTTTTATTTTTAATTTTATTTCATGTTATCGATTAATTCCATAATAATAATAATAATAATAATAATAATAATAATAATGAGGGAAAATTGCATTTTTAGTATATCCGTGGTACAAACTTAATCTGTAAGTTATATGTGATCATTTTTAGTCCCTAAGGTATGCATAGTCGGACCAAATCAGTCACTTTATTAAGTGTCAAGCATCAGCGGAGGCGTTGTCGACTCTTTGTGCTTCATTAGGTTGAAAACGTATGTTTGAACAGATACTACAATGTAATAGAGTCAATAACATTTCAAAAAAAAAAAACTAAAAAAACAAAAAACAAAAACAAAAAAAAAAAAAACAAAAAAAAAAAAGAACCAAAGGTACAATTTTCCATAATAGGAAAAATGGAAAATGGTCATTTTCCCTCTTGATTTTCATTTTTCACCATCAAACTTTCTTCTCATGATGTGGCTTTCATTCATTGAGTGTTAATGAATTAGTTAACAAACTCTATAAATAAATTTAATTACTAATTACATGATGACAAGAAGGGTTCGTAGCATTATATTGCTCAAATGAATATATCATAAACCAAATTCAATTTCAGGGACTTCATACTTAGCTTACATCACCATCTTTATAAATTTTGACTAATATTTCCATTATATATTGTTTATTATTTGCAGAGAAAGGTGGGGTTCTTGCCAATCATGGAAGGAGAGATCCAACAATTAGCAGTGGCCTCTTGAATTTTAGAATATTAGTTAATATCATGGTGGAGTATATATATACTCTTTTATATTTTCTTCTTGAATTCGATCTTAGCTTAATTAGTAGAGAATTTTGGAGCACTCTTTTGTAAATAAAAATTAAAGGTTCAGTTGTGGAGAAATATATTTTGATTTTTATTTTGTAGGTGAATTGAGAACGAGAGAGTTGGCATGAGTGTGTTTTAGATTTAGCAATTAGGATAGATTTATGTCATGTTATGTTTTTGTTTGCAATTCCATTGTCTTACCCTCATCTCTTGGACAAATTATTTTGTGGACCCAGGTCTACCTTGCAAGTGTAACAGGTCTAAAAATATACAATTTATATACTGAATGTTTACAACTTACATACTGAATGTTCATAATTTTTTATATACTAAATGTTCGCAATATAATTTGCATACTGAATGTTCACAATTTTATATATTAAATGTTTATATTGGAAAATAATATATATGGAGTAAATAAAAATCATATATTTTACGGTTTTGGTTTTAAAGATTGAGCTTATACTTTTGGTAGGACCTTATTTATTTACAAGAATGGGGCCACAAAAATCTAAAAGATGACCCGGACGCCATCCCCTCCGCAAGAAGAGGATCATATTTACATCGGAGAGGACCATTGGCAAATTATTCTCTTCATCTGGGTATCTTGTGTCCAAATGTTCACAATTTACATACTAAAGGTTCACAATATACCTTTAAAAATTTACAATTTGTATACTACGAACCATGGTTAAAAATTCACAATTTGTTCATCATGGTTGATTAATCGGCGACTAGGCGCCCGTGTATTTTTTATTTTAAAAAATTTATTTAAAATTTTATAATTTTTTAAGACTTGATAATTATAAACTATTTAATACCTTAATAATTAATACTAAAATATTAAATATAACCTAAAAACATCTAGAGTTTGAACAATTTAAGATTATTTCGTTCAAAATGAAGTCGTTGTGTGAAATAATTCATTTAAAAAAGAATGGAACAATAGCTAATCGGCCTACTAGGCGACCTAGTCGGTGCCTAAGAGGCCTAGGCAGTCAGCGCCTAGGCGCCCTAGGCGGCGCTTAGACAACCTAGTCGACCGCATAACTGCCCAGCCGCTTAAACCACCAATTATGGTGATACTCTAGATGGCCAACCAGTGCCTAGCTAGGAGCCGATTAATCATTGTGGTGCCTAGGCAAGATTTTTGCAACACTGCTACGAACACACAATGTTAACTTATATGTAATTGATTACTTTATTTTGTATTCACAAGTTTCTTTCAAATACTGCAATCACACAATATTAACAGATCTTGTATTGTATTCACAAATTCTCTTCTACAATTGTTATGTGTTTTGATTTAGAAACAAAATTTATATTCTAGAACCCTTGACCCTTTGATTAAGAATGGATGAATCTCTTCCTCTCAATCACCTCCAGGTTCATTTATTTGATTAGTTGCTTTCCGCAGACCATACAGCATGGTTTCTTGCTTTACACACGCCATGAATGATTCCTCTAACTTAACAACATTACTTGATTAGCAACATCAAAATTATAGTTTAGAAATGAGATGTGAGCACAATTTATAAAAGGATAAAATTTGCAATGCCAATAATAAGGACGAGAAGTAAGCATAACACAACCAACAAGAATCAAGAATGAATCCTACAATTACCTTATAACTTAAGGACGGGAGTGCAATCTTCACTAAATTAAAACACCAAAATATAAAATACACAGATTTAAAATTAAATATCTAAAAGATAATAAATACGGATAACGGAATAGCAATTCAACAAATAAATGAAAAAAAATATTAATATTAATATTAAATATTTATTATTTATAAATATTGATGTAAAAAATATACACATAAATTCATAACTAATATGCCCTCTCCAAAAAAAAGAAGCTAATTCCTGAATGCCAGCCGGCCTGTCATACAGCTAGAAGTCTCTTCTATCACTGGACTTTAATTTGCTCTCAATCTGTAATTTGATGTTTTACAACCAACAAAAAAACGTCATTCTTCACGTAAGACACACACAATCAACCAAAATTCAAATACTAATCAATGGTGTTTTGAACATAAAGGACAGACAAATGCAAGTTAGTTTCTTCTTTTGTCCGTTTTGTTGTCAAACTGTTGGGGTTCAAAATCATTAGTCAAACGTTAGGTGGAGTAGTAAGCTTGATTAACGGCTTGACTCACTGCAAAAGTGCAAGGAGCCACTCAATTTTTGTGAATTAAGTAATAATTATATCTAAAGTTCCCACTGTAATCAATTCAATTTCTGCAAGAAGATAGTGTTGTAGGGATGTAAAAAAGATAGTGAAATGAATGTGTACCTGAGAGTTCAGGGCGACCATTTATCAGGGACCGTAAGGAAGTAGGAGGTCATAGCTTTCCTGAAACGTTTCTTGTACTGTATAGGAGAAATGACGGTGGGAGATGCGTTCTTGGGTCCGCCCAGTATGCCCGAGGCCTTCACCCACGTCTCCAAGTGCTTGTCCCATGTATACTGCCTCATGTAATCGATGATGCCCAGCACCAGCTCTTTCCTCTCCTCATCCACCCCCACCAACAAAGAATAGTCCATCACGTAAACACCCTGCTCCATCATATTCATCTTGTCAGCCAGTGTTGTAAAAATCGGCCTAGGCACCTGCCTAGGCGCCCCTAGGCCAAGAGGGTTTTACCATTAGTCGGCCAGCAGATTAATCAGCCAACTAGAAAGCCAAGGCGCCCAACTTGGCCAACTCAGCGCCTGAATTAGCCAAATTAGGCGCCCGAGTCGGCCAACTAGGCACCTGAGTTGGCGAACTCGGCCAACTAGATTGCTGTGTTTTTTGTTATTATTACTCGCCCAACTAGGCGTTAGGTGCCCAACTAGCACCTAGCGCCTTCTACGACATTGTTGTCAGCTCACAAACACAACACACAGTGACCCTTTTTTAACATTTTTCATATTGCAATATTCAACTAATTCAAGAAAATGTAAACAAAGAGCTCGAGTAGCTTACTGCTAAAAAGGACGTATCGTTCCATACAGCTCTCTCCAAACTTCTCTTTGCTTTGCTTCCCAGAAATATTGGTTTTGTCTGCAAACTCTCTAGAAAGTTCAAATCCAACAACACTTTGTTTGCTTTTGTATCTGAGTTGTAACGGGATCGCACTGACCCCTTTAGATCATACACCCTCGAAATACTCCGTCCATAGAAAAGGTTCTCCATCACAATTAAATCCATTTTTGTTTCCTTCCCTCCTTTCAAGTGTTTCACTGCAACCTAATCATTTCATGTAAACATTGAAACACAATTCTTCTTCAGGAGTAAATGCAATAAACAATTAGAACCAAGAATCAAATCAGAGAAAGGGAATCGAACCTGATAAATACCAACAACTTTAGCAAGGCAGGTTGGGCTTCCTGAACTATGAGAATCTGTCAAATATTCGAAATACTTTGGAGCAAACTCTTCGAAAGAATCTAACTCAGTCTTCTGCATTTGTTTTATTATGAACCTTTCATCGAGTGACTTGGCAAAATAAACATTACTCTTTCCTCCTTGAGCACTCCATCTCTTACAACGGCTTAAAGAGCGTATGAAGTCCAGTTCACTAGGACAACATTTCTTCCGAAGAGCATCAAACTGTTTAGCAAAGTAACATGTGACAGAAAATTTCACCTTACCCCCAGTGTTGCAAGATTCATCCTCAAAAGATATTCTAGGATGAGGAGAAAGTTTCGGATCTGAAAACAGGAAACCAATTCTACCAGATGCATCTTCAGAACCATAACTTCCAAAGTGCATATAGTCTAAGTCCAGTGAGCCAAACCGTTGCCATGTTGAAAGCTTAGAGGCTATGGGACTTTCCTTGTTGGTATCACTCACGCCCCACCCACCTTCAGACATATATGGCTTATCAGTCACCCAGTCTTTATATTCCTTGGAACTAAGAGCATAAGATATTATGCTAGTAGGCTCATTATCGTATACAGCAATTACAACATCCTTTTGGCCATTCTCTGGAACCATTAATCTTGCTCCTTCAGGTAGAATAGATGCATGAGAGGTGAAAGTGGTGGATGAACTCGGTAAAAGATTTAACTTCTGAGCCTCCCTGGGTAGAGCCTGAGAACAAATCATCTGAATGTTGGAAACAGGGTCTCTGATCATATTCCTGTAGTCTCCATAAGCATGAAAAGATTTTAGTGTTGATAAATACGATGGGGATGGTGGCAGTCTTTTACTAATTCTTTCTTGAATTCTCAGAGCAGAGTCAAAGGAATAAACTCTTGCCGGTGATTTTAACCTTTTACAAGTAGGACTGTCAACATGACTTAGTTGCCCGAACGAAGCAACTCGACGTTCACCTTCTTGCAATGAAGCATGAACCTGCATGTCTTGGGAAGATGGATCTATACCAGTCCAAGCACAATCTATTTTATCAGAAAGAATAGAACCAGCCGAAGGGGCCCGCTCCAAGGGTGACTTGTTGACTGCATTCTCCAACCCAAGTCGTGTTTCAAGAGTCTTGTCACCATTACATGAGGTCGATGAGGAACCTTGCTGATAGCTAAGAGCATCTTTTGGTACAGGAGGCTCATCGTGCTCAGAATGCAAACCTTCCCCTGGACATTCCTCTGAGTTTGGAAACTCATGCACATTCTCTTCATAAGCATGTTCAAGACTGCCATCCTTAAATATTGTTTCACCTCCCCACTCTCCAGGGTTAATACAAGACACTGCATTCTCGGGATGCTGTGAACTAAAATTGTTATCGAAAATGGATTCCATATAATAAAGACGGTGATCCCAGGCGTGCAAATCAGTTAAGAGGGAATGTCTCAGGCGATTAAGTTCAAGAACATCAATTGTTGTCTGGCCTTCCTCTGATGTCTCTTCATGAGTAGGTTGATGCAGGTCCTATTAGCCAAAGGAAATGAAATCAAACAGAAAAATAGAAAAATAAATAGAAGCATTATGGAATTTACGTTAACACATTCAGATGTTTGATTCACATTTAAAGCAAAATGTATAGCTTATGAACAAGAAGTTAAATAGAAATGATTTGTTGAATTTCTAGTCAGTACTCACATTCCAATAATTCTTTTCTTTCATTAGCATGTCTTTTAACTCCAGGATGCAGTTATGCAATCCGTTCATATTGTTCCAATCACATCCAACAGAGGCACATTTCTCCTCAAGCTTCTGAACAGCACTAGATATCTCGGCATACAAGGACTTGGCTTTC